ATTCTCTGCTTTCTGAGAAAAGGTGGCTGTTTTTTGTGTTTTCCAAAGAGCCCATCCAAGGTCCACTTGTCTAGTTAGGGATTGTTCGTCAGAATTTTTACCTAAAGTCCGAACTTGAACGTAGCCATCCCCTATAGAATGGCAAGCCGGTCTTAGTCCATTTCCTCTTGATCTTATCATAGGCGGAATTTTTTTGTCGGCTTCACTGCGTTTGTCTTTGTCAGGGTACATTTGGATGGCAGCCAATGACTGAAACGTCTTGATACATCCTTCTTTTAGCAAGAATATCTCGCTTTCTTGTTCCGTCTATGAAGGATTGGGTATAGTTCTCGCGATGACCCGCGTTCAGAAATCTGTGCACGTTGCTGATAACCACCCGCTTCTATGATTAGTTTGCTGAAGGTTTCTAATGTGATGAGCCTAGTGAGACCCTGAGGTGCTTCAAACCGCGCCAGTTGGTCTGCGTTATAAACTTGTCGCAGTTCTTAAGTCAGAGGGAGGATCGCCCACCTCTATTTATGTGAGCGCCTCTACAGTACCTGCGTATCCCTAGCAATCATATGATATAAAGTTCATCTCAGTCACAAATCACCAGTTAGGAAAACTGATGTTCAGATAAGTGCTCTTCTTGCCATCTTCCTTATTCATTGCCGACTCTAAGATAGCAGCTACAGTACGCGTTCTATTTAGGTTTACAGTCATCTTGCCGCCACCAGGAAGACTCGCCACCAGCTTTGATTTCTTCTGCCATCTGCAGATTCATCTCTCTCTCACGTTATGTCTCCGAATTTTATGAGGAGGATACTGGCATTTACGAACCCGAAAGTCTGAATCTCACACCAAGTTGTGCACGATATTTGAGGTACATCGTGAAATCGCGGCCTTCGTAATCTCCAAATAAGCCAATACGCGTTAGAATAAGCTCCATCTCGGACGAAACGCATGTTTGGGATACATCGACGTCTCTCAAATGTTTCTTTTTAAGCTGTATACCCACGAATTTAGAGGTATGAGCTGTTACCGTCCCTGGCCAGCGCGAGAAAAATAACATTTGGTTCTACAGTTAGTTGCAAATGAACAAGACAACTGCACCATCTTGACTTTATCAATTCGAGTGTTAGATTGAATTGAGGGCTTTTTAGACACTCGATTTCTTATATGGCATCACTATGAAGACGTAATACAACTGATACACCTACAGTACATAGGATTAACAATGTCTGTTGCGCTGTTGCGAGAAAGAGGAAAATATTACCGGAAGTATAAACTCTTTTTAAAAAGAGTTTCAGAGACGTTTCAGAGATGTCTATCTTTGATAGGCTGTCACAAAAAGACCCCCACTTAAATTTACTAGGAAAAATGAACTTACCAACTCCTTGTTGAAAAAATTGGAATTCATTTGACCGATACGCCGGTTGTTTCAATTTTGCTTTTTCCTCGGGCTGCTATAAAACAGTTCATAAATTGACTAATGAATAAAATGTTTTGAAATACGGTTCGGAATTTGCCTTTTTTTTCTGCGTGCAAATCAAGGGTAGACAAAGTTTTTAAAACATTTGACTAGAATTTCATGGAGTTCACCTCGATAATTTTCGTCGGCCAGAGTCAAGACGCGCCAAGGTAAGGGACATCACCCTCCAGTAAAATAATTTTCGAAAGAATAAACGTGGCAAGCGTGAGGAAACGCACATTTTTTTTATCATTGTGATCAAAGCCCAATGATGTACCTAAATTGGTACTTACGGTATCAAACCATCGATTATGACAGGGTGAGCTTAATTTTTCTGTCGAGGTCGACGTGACTTCACATTAAAAGCGTTTTTGACGGAACAAATTAGTGAGCATCTCTGCACGAACTGAGAAAGTAAAAACTTGTATTTATCTCCCACGCGTTTCGTCTGAAAATAGTTGAATTCATCAAGGATTTTTTCAAGTAGGGGTAAATAAGCTTGCTCATATACAAATAGTAAATAAGTTGTCTCTTTGCTATTGAAGCCAGTGGATAGAATTCGCCAGGTGCGCCTACGGTGTTATACATGCGTGACATTTTCCGGACGTTACATATCCATGTACGAGTACGTGATCCGCTTGAGGGTCACAGATTTAGTGTAAATATTTCACCCCTCAACATCACGCAATGTCTCTAGTTTATAGAGGTCTTCGAACGTTTCATTATATGGAGTTGCCTTCTGCGGGTAGAAGGCTACAAGCGAATTTCTCAGGTGTAATTGCCTTTGATTTCTCAATTGATGTTGTCGCAAACACAGTTTTTGGGAGTCACGAGACAAAAATACTTATCAGGACCTAGTTTCATGTTCTAATGGAAATAAATAGCAAATAAAAACACATTTTCTTGAGAAATAAAGTCACAAATGACGGGGGTTCTCTGAAACAAATAGTGATAGAAAAGGATTTCAGTTCTGGTCAATATTGACTTTTCCTGGCCTACTTTCAAATCTGAGGGAACGCGCTGAGTGAATAAAAAAACATAAATGTGTGATAATGCAAGCAAGAGACTGAAAATCCAAATGAAGAAAAAGGAGGAAACATAGGAACCCGTGTTGCAGCGTGCAGATATCTTTTGTGCCAGACCTACACACCTAAGCCCGACACCACCCAGAGAAACTTGAAAGAGTTCTGTATATGAACTAGCTCGCACGTGCACGCAGGAAAGGCCATGACAATCAGCGAAAATAATAGAAAATGCAAATGATATTTGCAGTCAAAAAACAGGAAAATAAGATAGCAGAAGGATAAAGAACTCTCTAGAAGTATCTTCTTGAAAAAAAAATATGAACAATTTTTACTTCTCATGAAAAGTCACGCAGTAACCCTACAAATACTATTTCTATACGTGGAATTTCTTGATGGTGGAAAGTGGAAAAAACATTTTCCAGCCTTATTTTCTGGAAACATGGCGTAATTAATGAATTTATGGGGCTATTGTTATTTCTATCAAATAAGGGGGGCAGAGTTTCCCGTCATGCGCGGTATGGAAAAGCCGAAGTTGTTACACTCGGGAACTTGTACGTCAACAAGCAGGCGACATGTGACTTTAAAATCTCCTCTCCTGTTACAGTTTCCTTATTGTAAACTGTGCGATAATGATAATAGACGATCAAAGTATAGGCTAATGAATGTTTTGTTCTGTACAAGAGCCCTATGTCCTGATTTTAGCAAATCTTGAAAGTAATAAACGACTGAAGAAAGAAACGCAACGATTTTCCCATTGATTTTTCGTCAACATGCATCTCTCTAAACGTGAAATTTTCCATTCCTACAAAAAATCTCGAACGTTTTAACATTTTTCACCTTGCTTGATCAATCATCTTGTATGAAGAACTAAAAAATGTAGGTTTATTTTGTCAAGTGAGCGCCTAGAGCAAGACGTGCGTGACAGGTGTAGTTGAGAGAAACTTGTCAAAATCGCAGATTTTAAAAGGTATCCAAGACAAAAATACGGTAGTGCCCAAAGATTTTTTTCAGAGATGAAATGCTGGGTTATAAAGGGTAATTAAGATTAGTGTTGTAGCTTTCTGGCAACGGGAGATATTTGACCTCAAAGTTGTAAACTATTTAGATGAATCGAAAAGTCTAAAAACACAGCCGTATATTTGCCTCTGTTGATTGACAAGCCGTCAATCAAACTGACTGATGCTCGCGGCGGCCATTAACTAAGGATGTAAAAATTTGTGTGCAAATCCTCAAAGTAATCAGTTGAATACCATCGCAGTGAGAGCTTCATATATTTTACCTATTTGAAGCGATTTCATTAGTGAAAACCAAGAAAAACCGGGGGGTGGTCTATCTCCCCACGGAAAAAACCAAAACAGAAACCAGTCTGTTTTTTTTTTAGTTTTGGGGTAGAGCCTTTAAACTGACAAAGTTTCGTTGAAATCGGTGAGATGGCATGTAGCACGACCGCCCGATGCTCTCGCGGACACGCTCTTAAGTCACTATCTAGCTGTTTTAGAAAGAAGGATCAGGACTTACCTAACTCTTAGTGTTTTTGTGGGAGTTGTTGATCCCAATTTAAGTGTTCTTAGAAGTTTCAGTTGTCTGTAAAGCTAAATAAATCTAACTGAAACCTAATAGGGCCTGTTTATTCTTTTCCGTTTAGTTTCTTTGTTTTGTTTTGTTTTGTCTTTTTTTTTCTTCTGGTCTGTAATGATTTCAATGGTTTCAGGTTCTTTTCTCAGAATTGAGCTACAGTAATAGTATGCTTCTTTGTGTTGTTGCCTACAGGAGCCGCTGCTTGTGCTGAATTGAAGAGATTTGAAGAAGCAATCACTTGGTGTGATAAGGGACTAGCTGTATCCTTTGAAGGAATCGTTCATTTTTAACCGTGGTAAAAGCGCGGTAATGTTTACATATCTTATGCAGATTTTCTTGCCTTCGACCTTTTTCCACTACTTAGAGACTCGGAAACTTTCGTCCTGCTTTCCTATCGACAAATAAAAATTTTAAAGACATGTATTTGTGTTGTAGACTCATTTCTTCCACTGTTGTAAAACATCTGTCTGATGTAAAAGCTATTAATTTAAAAATTGAGCAAGCGCTGCTCAGTTTTTGAAAACTAAGGATTAAATCTAGATATTTCGCGTTAAATTTTGAGGCTGCACGCAAAAAAAACATTTTTTGAAGTGTAGATTTACTTCATAACTGACTTCAAGACTGAAAGTTGATAAATCATCTACCTTTGATGCAAAGCCCTCCTAATGGGCCATTTTATAGTTGTGTACTTAGTTGCCAAGCCTTTGATTTGGAGTGAGGCTGAAGGTGACCTTGTTGTGATAGAGACCAGTATCTAGAAACGATAATAACAAAGTAGTTTGCATTTAAAAAGCAGCAATGTTTTTATCATAACAAGGTCACCCTTTATCATCCCTCTTGTTCAGAGGCTTGGGAACCAAGCACGCAAATGTTAAAATGGACTATTACATATCAATATGATCAGAAACATAATCTTTTTTGTTTTTTCCACATTTTTTACCCTTAACATTAAAAAGATTGACAAAAACAATAGGATCTTGTTGTCATTAAGACTTCAGTCTGTCAGTGAAGTGGGAGATAAGTCCATGGAGGAAAAAGATCCTATTAGTCATGACCATGGTTGTGCAAGTTCAGGTGATGTCAAGAAAGTCATAGATCTCTATAATCGGGGAGAAGAAGCCATAGAGTACCTCAACCTATATCTTAAAAAAGCTAAACAAGTAGGAGACAAGCATGGGGAGGGTAACGCTTATGGCAGTCTTGGCAATGCTTATCACCGTCTGGGTGATTTCAAAAAAGCCATAGAGTACCACAACCTAGCTCTTAAAATAGCTAAAGAAGTAGGAGACAAGCATGGGGAGGGTGGTGCTTATGGCAATCTTGGCAATGCTTATGACAGTCTGGGTGATTTCAAAAAAGCCATAGAGTACCACAACCTAGATCTTAAAATAGCTAAAGAAGTAGGAGACAAGCATGGGGAGGGTAGTGCTTATGGCAATCTTGGCAATGCTTATCACAGTCTGAGTGATTTCAAAAAAGCCATAGAGTACCACAACCTACATCTTAAAATAGCTAAAGAAGTAGGAGACAAGCATGGGGAGGGTAACGCTTATGGCAATCTTGGCAATGCTTATCGCCGTCTGGGTGATTTCAAAAAAGCCATAGAGTACCACAACCTACATCTTAAAATAGCTAAAGAAGTAGGAGACAAGCATGGGGAGGGTAAAGCTTATGGCAATCTTGGCAATGCTTATAAGAGTCTGGGTGATTTCAAAAAAGCCATAGAGTACCACAACCTAAATCTTAAAATAGCTAAAGAAGTAGGAGACAAGCATGGGGAGGGTAACGCTTATGGCAATCTTGGCAATGCTTATCGCCGTCTGGGTGATTTCAAAAAAGCCATAGAGTACCACAACCTAGATCTTAAAATAGCTAAAGAAGTAGGAAACAAGCATGGGGAGGGTGGTGCTTATGGCAATCTTGGCAATGCTTATGACAGTCTCGGTGATTTCAAAAAAGCCATAGAGTACCACAACCTACATCTTAAAATAGCTAAAGAAGTAGGAGACAAGCATGGGGAGGGTAACGCTTATGGCAATCTTGGCATTGCTAATAAGAGTCTGGGTGATTTCAAAAAAGCCATAGAGTACCACAACCTACATCTTAAAATAGCTAAAGAAGTAGGAGACAAGCATGGGGAGGGTAACGCTTATGGCAATCTTGGCAATGCTTATCACAGTCTGGGTGATTTCAAAAAAGCCATAGAGTACCACAACCTAGATCTTAAAATAGCTAAAGAAGTAGGAGACAAGCATGGGGAGGGTGGTGCTTATGGCAATCTTGGCAATGCTTATTTTAGTCTGGGTGATTTCAAAAAAGCCATAGAGTACCACAACCTAAATCTTAAAATAGCTAAAGAAGTAGGAAACAAGCATGGGGAGGGTGGTGCTTATGGCAATCTTGGCATTGCTTATGAGAGTCTGGGTGATTTCAAAAAAGCCATAGAGTACCACAACCTACATCTTAAAATAGCTAAAGAAGTAGGAGACAAGCATGGGGAGGGTAACGCTTATGGCAATCTTGGCAATGCTTATTTTAGTCTGGGTGATTTCAAAAAAGCCATAGAGTACCACAACCTAGATCTTAAAATAGCTAAAGAAGTAGGAAACAAGCATGGGGAGGGTGGTGCTTATGGCAATCTTGGCATTGCTTATAAGAGTCTGGGTGATTTCAAAAAAGCCATAGAGTACCACAACCTTGATCTTAAAATAGCTAAAGAAGTAGGAGACAAGCATGGGGAGGGTAAAGCTTATGGCAATCTTGGCAATGCTTATTTTAGTCTGGGTGATTTAAAAAAAGCCATAGAGTACCACAACCTAGATCTTAAAATAGCTAAAGAAGTAGGAGACAAATTCGTTGAGGCAGTGGCTTACTATTCATTAGGATGCGTTTTTGAGTTGCAAGGTGGACTGCCAAAAGCCGTTGAACATTACCAAGCTAGCATAACCTTATTCAATTCCTTGAGAGTACTTTTAAAATTTAAAGATGAGTGGAAAGTTAATTTTCGAAATCAGCATCAAATGGCGTATACGGGTTTGTGGAGAGTTCTCGTAGAACAAGGTAATGTAGATGAAGCCTTATTTGTTGCTGAGAAAGGACGAGCTCAAGCTCTAACCGACCTCATGGAATCCAGTTTTCGTGGTGGAACAAGTCACCATAAGGGAGAAGATGAAGATTGCGCAGGTTTAAAAAACGTTCCATCAAACACTGTCTTTCAGGCAGTGGACCAAACTGACATCAATCTTTGGGTTGTGTCCGAAGGAAAACAAGTTCAGTTAAGACAAAGTAAATTCAATGGTTCTGTTTCAGTTTCCTTTGAGTCGTTCATGCACGATGCCTATAGGCAACTTGGTGTTCGTTTTAATGTGAGATGCGAGAATCGATCTCTGGATGCTTTGAGGGAGAACCGGTCAGAAGTGGATGAGGAAATTAAAGAAGATAACCCTCAACTTCCCATCCAACAAGATGAATGCTTAAGCACTTTGTATGATACCGTTATGAAGCCGGTGGCTGACTTGCTTGAAGGGGATGAGCTCCTCATTATTCCCGATGGACCCCTTTGGCTCGCTCCTTACGCTGCATTGAAGGATGGTAATTCCAAATACCTGTGTGAATCGTTCATAATTCGACTCGCTCCATCTTTAACAAGTCTTAGACTCATTGCCGATTGCCCCGATGATTATCACAAAAGCAGTGGTGCGTTACTTGTAGGAGATCCGTGGGTAGCCGAGGTTACTGATGGCAAGGGAAAGAAAGTCTTCGAGCAGCTTCAGTGTGCTAAAGAAGAAGTAGAAATGATCGGAAAAATTCTGAATATTAAGCCAATCACTGGCAGACAAGCCACGAAACGTGAGGTGTTGAAAAGACTCAGTTCCGTTTCCTTAGTTCACTTTGCGGCACACGGATGTATGGAAACTGGCGAAATTGCTCTTACACCTGACCCAGACCGAATATTTACTGTGCCAACGGAGGAGGATTACATTTTAACAATTGGAGATGTGCTGAATGCTCAACTTCGGGCCAAACTTGTTGTGCTTAGTTGCTGCCACAGCGGCCGGGGCGAGATCAAGGCTGAAGGTGTGGTTGGCATTGCGCGCGCTTTTATGGGGGCTGGTGCTCGGTCTGTTGTGGTATCCCTGTGGGCGATTGATGACGAGGCTACTCTTGAGTTCATGAAATACTTTTATCAACAACTTGCAGGAGGTAAACCAGCAAGCGAGTCACTGAACCTGGCCATGAAAATCCTCAGAGAATCAGACAAGTTCTGCGACATCCAACACTGGGCGCCCTTTTTGCTGATTGGAGATGACGTCACTCTTGACTTCATGGCAAAGGAAAGAGAAAATTTGAATATGAAATCACATAAATGAAAACTTTTTATTTCATCTCAAAATGAACGACGAAGGAACTCGGAAGGTTTAAATCCTTCTCTATTTTGGCGCTTTTTGGCTATTTTTCATTACTTTTCACTTTTTTGTTAAATGGAACTTGAGATGTGTGACTTTACTTTGGTGAAGAAATAAAACAGACTATTTCAGTATATTTTGTTCAGTGGAATTGCTATTTTTTTACCTTTACAAATTTAGATGCTTGCGAAGAGAACAAGATGCAACAAGGCTTCTGTTGTTAATGCCTGAAGTTGTTGAAGGCGACTACGAGGTTTTCGTTTCGCCAAAATGACACTCAGATCTATTCCTTTATTGTAATCAGTTGTGTGTAAAATAATTTAAAGGTTTTTTTCTTGTACACAACCAGGAGCTTGTCCACCGCGTTTTAATTACGTTGATACTCTTAGCTTTTGATAAGCAAAGAAACAGTTTGTCATTTGCAAAAGGTGGCGAAATTTTAATTTAAAAAATGTGATTTGCAAAATTCGCAGCCATATGTGAATTGATCTTAATGGTTTTTCTACGTCATAAATTACTTTGTTGCAATTTGCAATTATCTTTGCAAAAAAAATTGATTATCATTTTCAACTTTTTTTCAATTCATTTTAATGCAATCTAATTCCATCAGTGCCAAGATTGCCATTCTAAGCTTAATTTGAAGAAGTAATCATCAGAGATGATGTTGTTGAATTTACTGACCATATGTTAGAGACATTAGACCTACTCTCAGGGGTGTGGCCAGCCTCTAGTCCCGTGGGCCCGGCCTACAATTGTTTTCCGCCCACTTGACTTTTCTAATATGACTCTTACAAATGTTGAAACAAAAATTGAAATTTCCCAGGAAAAAGGCCTACAACAAGTCAAAGAGCTGACTACAACGGCCTGCTTTCAATCAAACGAGTTTGATGAATTTTAGTCCGTTTTATCAAACACTCATCTGTTTGTTTTAAAAAACCACGACAGACAAATTGTCCATGTAATCTAAACAAGGAAATAGCGAAGCAGAGTTTACTTTAACTGAAGTTTCCATAGCTGTGACTTTTAATGTATGTGACATGGAATTTGTTGTTTCTAGTAGGAAAATGTTTACGCTAATAAATTAGGGAAACAGTTGAAGTAAGCCATGTAGTCCTCAATGGGAATTATTCTAGTGAAAATGTTTATGAATAAATGTAAATGTAGTCCGCAGTAAAAAGGTTGACGGCTTCAGGATAAAACTTGCATTTTTTTGAAAATTTCCAGTTCAAATTTTTTTCATGGCTTTAAATTTACCTTAGTATAATTTGAAGATGTCGGATGATATCTTTCTTAGATTTAAGAATTTATACTTAGGTATTCCGAGCACGCTTTGTGATTAGAACCCGTTATGTGGTCAAAAGTTTAAGGTATAATGTATCACGGCTGTTTTAAAAGAAATTTTTGTAAAATCAATCTTAATTTTTGGCAGGTTTTCATAACTACCATTGGTATATGCTGGTATAAAATGTAATAGTTAACCTCGCACACGGTTGAATATGATGTAACGTAGGATTTTAACAACAAGCTGGGACAGTTTTAACTAAATATGCTTTTTATAATGTCAGTGTATTTTGTGTGAATTGTTTTGATGCTATTTGTATTTAAAGTTGAAGCTATTTGTCCATTTACCTTAGTTTTTATTCATTAACTCATTAACTTCCAAGTTCTGAAGAAAAATTCTCCCAACTGATAAGAAAGTGTTTCTTTGTTGCTTCATTCTGAGAACTCGATGAAACATAACGTTTCTAGTGAAAAATAATCCTCCAGTTTAGATTTTCTCTAATTCTTATTGACACCATGTTTGTCGGTGCATTAATTTTGTGAGGAGAATTTAAATTATGATCAGTCTTGGGAATAAATGGGTTCATTTTAGTGTCTTTGTTTAGCGCGTACTTTACTTAATGCCGTGAACAATTTATTGCAGTTTGTATTGTACTTTTTTTTGTGTAAGAGAAATAGAGAGTGTATAAAATACAAAAACTGCGTTGATTTTCATTTTCTGTCTCCATATTCTAAGGATTCGCGTGAGATGTAGGGAGAACAGATCCTACGGGGACTTCAATGCTTATTTTGACCCGCGCGCGCCAAGTTGATAATCTTTGCAGCTGACAGTGTACTAACATTCCACGTTTCAAGCCCCCACCCACTTAACAAACGCTCGTCGACTCTTCGATTGCGTCTCTTTCACTGTCTACCGTTCTCCATATTGTCACACGATTTTGAATGCCGACGCACGTGTTCATACTGTTACCTGTGTGCGCCCTTTTTACCTTTTTACACCTTTTCACATTTGTGCATCTCTTTTTTCTCCTTCCTTTTGTTTCTTCCCTTTTTTTCATCGTACTTTTCCTTTATTCCCATTTTTACGCGCACTTCTTTCATCGCCCTCAACTTTATTCTTCTACGCGCTTCATTAGACGCGACTATCTCCTTGTCTGTTTCAGTTTTCATTCATCTCAATCCTCGCGCAACGTCAGGTCTGTTACAACTCATATACCTCCTTACTCCCCCAGAGTAGTTGTTATTATGCTTATTTTGTTCACTTTAGGATAGTGTCCTCTTAGCATCATTTCTGGTAAAATCTCAATTTTCCTTTCGACTCATTCCCAGTCCACAGGGTCTCTCAATTTTAAGTCTCACTTGCCAGTGTTTGCTCTCCTCAGTCCTCTCATCACAGTAGCAGCTAGAAAACGAAAGAGTTCCCTCCAAGACTCTACGACATAATCGATGCATTTTGTTGGAAACGAGTCCTTCAATGTCCAAATTAAGGCTTCTTCTATCATCTGATTGGGAATGGATCAAACTCTCGCCCAGGGTCCACCTACATCGCGAATCCAAGATGGCAGCAGGCCAATCCACAGACTTCTCCGAGTCGATAGCCGCCATCTTGGATGTAGACGCAGAGAGGACCTTGAAAAAGAGTTTTGAATAAACAAAAATTAAGAAAGGTTAAGTTATTGTAATGCTTCCTAAGAGGTAGTCGATAACAGCCCGAGAGATTCATTATGAGCAAACACGTTTCGTCGGTTATTAGACTCCATGTCTCCTTACGTTGTAGAATAAACTCCTCGAATACGGACGTCTTTATGCCCCTCTCCCCCTCCCTTAAATAGCAATATACATCCCTCTACTGCAACTTTTATCATAATACAGCACAATACAACATTATACCCCTGAGTAGCACTGTAAATCCGTCAAATGCAGTAACTGTGCAGCGCATCACAACAATATGAACCCCTAAATAGAACTATGCTTCCCTCTACTGAATTTTATATCACCATACAGCGCTCTATAAACTATTGCTCCAATTTGGCGCGAAAATAATTGAGGATATTTGTCCGCGGACATTATCTATTCCAAGATGCCAAAACTGTGAGCTTCGAGGGACAGACAATGTCCAAGGACAAGTATCCGAACATATTTTCGTGCAAAATAGAGGCTATTGTGATTTTTATCCTTCAACTATTTTGCAACGCTCGTGAAAAAATCTTTATGAACAGCTCACTGAATTGAATTAAAGTTTAAACGAAGACTTATCGAGGTGGACGTAAGGTTTACAAATTGGGGAATATCGCTTGCGTGATATTCTCGGATATCACCCAGTATTAGCTGTGGGATATTTAGTCACTTGCTGCGTTTACACCAATTGCTCGCGGGCAAAAATATTTGATGGATCATAAAAAGCAACATGCACCCCTAGATAGCACTTTACTTCCCTCTTCCGCAATTTACATCACAATACAGCGCTATAAAACAACATATATCCTATACTTCTCTCTTCTGCAATTTACATCACTATACAGCGCTATACATCAATATGTACCCCTAGATACCACTGTACTTCCCTCTTCTGCGCCCTACATCACTATACAGTGCTATACAACATTATCTACCCCTAGATAGCATTATACTTCTCGGTACTGCAGTTTACATCACAATACAGCTCTATACAACAATATGTACCCCTAAGTAACCTTGATCGGCATAACAGAATACATACATCGAAATTTTCCAGCCTCTCGGGCCATGCTTTGTGTCTTTTTCCAAGGTTCATTAAATACTCGATGAAAACCTTTGCGTCGTTTAAAGAAAACACAGCATTTTCCAGCGCAGTCATGACTCATCTGACGTGAAGACACAGAGATGGCGAGTTGATTAAGGCTTTAAGTTTCAAACTCTTAAAGGCGGGAAATATTTCTGAAACAAAATCATTCACGATCATCACTATTAATTCTGAATAATGGAACTTCGATTCACGTTTACTTAAGATAATACATTTTACTCCCATTTTGCCAATCATACAAAGAAATCAATACACTGAGCAATACCTTCAACAAGACGCAGCTACACAGTTGTAAATCTCCATCCTCATCCTCAGTAGAACTATGCCATCACAAAGGTGTAATAATCGCGAAAGAATAACCGCACTTAAGACCTCCCTATATACCAAGGAATTCGTGCCACTGGATTCGACATGTGCCAGTAACCTACCTTCACATTTAACGTGACGTTCAGCTAAGATCAGCGAACTGTTTCTTTTTTTCTTCATTTTAAACGATTCCAATCCTAATAGTGGTATCATATTTGCATAAGAATGCTAATGTCAACTTGAAACTCTGCATTAATTTTTTTTGATGAAATGAAACACAAAAAACCAGAGATACCACGTACTTAAAACACTAACCGTTTAAACATTTTCTTCCACATGACGCTCTTAACGGGCTCAACGAGCTGCCAATTCTCTTAAAATCCGTTTTCGTTCGTGTGATAGCTTGACTTCTATTTCGATTTGACAGTTCAGTTCGACAGTTTGACTGTTAAACCTTAAATGAAGATTTGTAGAATAGATTTATGAATTTGCTTAACGGCGAATGAATGCATTGAAATCAAAATTGATTTTCTCAGCTCAGCTCACTGAACTACAAGTCTGCTGCCAGATGATTAACGTGGACGCTATTTTAGTCCCTTAAATTTCTCATTTCTCAATGCGTCAGCAACTGAAATTATATTCATGAAACAGGGACGCATTTTGTGACACAAATCTTGGCAATGACTGGTGTAAGCCGCAAAGGTACAACGGACGATTACTGGTCATTCTGATTTTTCGGTTATTGCTAACGTATTACTTGTGGTCATAAGCATCATCCTAAGCAGACCCTTGCAAAAGTTTCACCAAAACTGCAGAGACCTGAAGATTTTCGCTTAAACAAACAACATTGGAGTAATATCAAGATAAGAAAAAAAAAATTTTGATTTTAATGAAGCCTTTTGAATTTTCTGAAACACACTTGTAAGTGCAATGACAGCTGAATGTTCCTAATAAAGACGAAATAACCTTGGCTTTGCTCTCTAAAATAATGACTAAATATTTAGAAAGCAATTATTGTATGATTTGAGTGATCAGTTCTGTAATGTTTACCCTGAAACGGCATTTAAAAAATTGAAAACCATTTCTAGCTTCCGCACAGAACTTATGTTGTGCTTCTTGTGTTGTTTCGCTGCTCGTCTGTTTTCGTCCTTTAAAATGATAAGTTTGTTTGAGACATAAATGTTTTTTTTCTTGATTTTTATTTTAGGCCTCTTTTAAGATAAAGGCGTGATCCGAAAGATGATCACTTAGGTAGAACTTGCAATTGTGATCACAGTCTGGAAAATTTGCGGGCATGATCACGGTAAGTCTCCTTCGCAGCCGTGCTGAGACTCGTCACGCAACGTGAAAGTAAGCAGCCGTTCGTCGGGAGGAGCGTTGCGTGACGAGTGCAAGAGACTAGATAACGCTATTATCTCTGCGAGTCGTGACCTTTGTTTTCCCAAAGCGATTGCCACGTACGAAAATTTGAATGGTTTCAATCTAATCTAAAAATTTCTTTGCTAATGGAGATCTAGTCTACATTTCCATCAGTCTGTTCTAAACGGCGCAAGATTAGCTTTCAAACGCAGTGAAATAATTGTCGCTTGGCTACAACGCCAAAATCAACGCGCCGCTGGTTGTATTTTAGTGAATATTTGAAAATAATAGTGGCTATGTTAGTACGTGACAATCTGTTGCTACATTAAGCGAGAAACAATAAAGTCCCATAAAGAAACGTGTGAAAAATAAAAGTAAATAAGAGTTGAAAAGAGTTTCGTAAAATAAATACTTGCGTAAGAAGTTTTTTTTTTACGAAGAGTGCGTGATTCGACATCGAGACAGCGTGAGAACTCGTAAGAATAGTGGTGCTTCGTGACAAAAGTCACGCATCGAGCGTGAGACTCACGCTAAAATTGTTATTTTTCATGCATTTAAGGTTTCTGATTTGAGCTGTTGATTTTGAGGTAGAAACTGCTTTTTAGTGAAGTGCATAGAAAATTATCTTTCTAGATGAAATTTGGTACGCACATATTTTGAGTTAGAGCTTCCAGAAACTTCTTGGATGTAATTTGAAGTTAACTTGGGGCGGAAAATGATATGGATATCACGCAGTCACTGAATTGTGGACGTTGAAACAGCTGAGAAAGAAATTGCTCAGGATGATGATGAAAACTACTTATAAGGTGAGGTTTACTTTAAGCTTCAGTTACTTTACTGCAAGAACATGCACCGTGTATTCCCGCAATATAGATCGTAGCTGAGGCAAAACAGCATGTATGACCACCCCGTGGGGTGTGCTTCCTAGTTATAGGCTGATGGGGATGTGCCGCTGGATAGAGTGGCATTTTCACGACCAAATTGACTATGGACTGTAGCATTCTAAACAGAGTTAATTACAATAATGGGGTCGCACATTTTTGAAATTTTGGGGGTAAGAAAATTCTAAGAGTGTAGGGAAATGAAATGACGGAAAGTTCGCAGTAAGAAGGTCGTTACCAGCGCGTATTACCAAAAGTGACTAAGATGGGATCGATAATTAGCCACACAATAGACTATAATGGGGTTGGGGTTCTGAAAGGCCAGCGGCACATACCCCACAAAAGTTGACTCAAGCAACCCTTCAATTTATCTTAAATATCTTCATCTACAGATGGTTGTGACGTTACCATCATGACAGCTTGCCCTGAAATAGCCACAGATATGGAAGTCAGCCAAAATAATACTAATCTGGCCAAGACAACGAAATCTTTGTTATCCAGTGGTCTTCAGTTTGTTGTTGCTATGGTAACTGGTTAGTGCAATTCCGAACATGATTCGTGATGTTGCTTGTTTCAGGGCCCAATCCACCGCATATCAATGCAAAAAAAATGCCGCTGTCCCTTTTTCAGAACAGCTAACAATAGTGTGGCTGGCTTCGCTGTGTATTTTCACCGCTGGCTAAGTTGCTGCTTTTCGGAATGTTCCACAGTTCCCCGGTTACAAGGCAATTCTATATCAGCTCATGTTTGTTCCTTCATTCTCGACTCTGGTTCTTCTTTTCACCCTCGCCTTGTGTTGATACATCAACCTATTCATTTCTATCAAGTCTTCTTCATTTTGGGTCATAATTTTTTTTCTCGATAGTAAGTTATATTCTTAAAAGTTTAGCTGTAGGATTTCTAAATTACATCTATGGGCGGCCGTCACCGCAAAAAATACAAAAATATAATTGGTAGGTAATCAGTAACAGATATGGTCTAATTGTCTTTTTGAGAACACTTGATCATATCTTAAGAGATTTATTTAAAATACAAATGGACAAGTCGCCTTTGGTGAAATGAAATATTCAAACAAAAAATGTTCATACAATTCAGGAGCTGTGTAGCCAACCTTGTTGAACTGATTCAAGAAAAACACGAGTGGCCAAGTGTTAACTGAAATGGTTCAGTGTCGAAATGAGAAACGGTTCAGCTTACTGTACTTTGGTTTGATGACTTGACACAAACGGTTCAGAGTAGTGTGAAATGGCTTAAGTTATCGGCAAATGGTTAATCGTAAGCCGCAATGGTTTAGTATCGGATCAATCTAATCACCGTAAAGTGAAATGGTTTAGTGTCCCCAAATGGTTTAGCGTGACCCCAAATGGTTTAGCGTGTGGTTAAGCGTGACGACAAATGTTTTTTGGTTTGTTTACAGCAGTTGGTTTACGCCGTAACCGCCAAAAATACAAAAGGTTCAAGCTTGAAATTGAATAGGATAAGAATCTAAAATGCGCCTCAAAACTATAAAAACTATATAGTTTTTTAGGCGCCCTTTAGTTGGTCGTCTTAAAACAATGAATCGCTTTATCACGTTTCCTGGCTATAGTTCTTACTGTCTAGACGGTAAATGTGCTGTCGTGTAAAATGATGCATTTTATCTGTATTTTTGTTATTCCTTTTGTTTCAGATTCTTATTTTATATTGAGGTAGAAAAATGGGGAATCGTAAAGTGAAATGGTTTAGCGTGACCTCAAATGGTTAAGCGTGACGACAAATGGTTTAGTACAAACCGAAATGGTTTAGTGTTACAACAGTTGGTTTACGCCGTAACCGCCAAAAATACAAAAGGGAAATAGACAAGTCAAGCTTGAAATGAAAGAGTCTATGTTGGGTCTGACGTCACAACCTACGTCATTCAGATCGAATTTGGCGCGAAATTCGCCAGAACGAGGTATTCGCCACGCCGTCCACTCGACGTTTAACACAGGAACAAATTATTTCTGTAGCCTCGTCTACGAGACTCAGAGAGCCTCACTCCGGTAATAACCTTTTTCACATTTGTCTATTTTAGCTTTTTAGCGAATAAATTTATGCCCTCATCATCTTGCCGCAATATCAGTAAGTAAATGGTATTTCGGATGAAACTGTTTTTATCGAGCTGCTGAACGTTCAGTAGCTTAATAATCAGTTACTGAAAATGAAAGTGAGTTTAAACTTATATTTCACAATGATATATTTTCCTATCGTTTCAAAGCATATATTTGTTTTATGTCCAATTTTTATAGTTTGTTAAAACTAAGTTAAGCCGCAACTATTAGAGACTTAATCTTGAGGTTGTAAAATTTCTGATAGTTGCGGCTTAACCATGTTGGGAGTTTAAATCGCTATTAGCTAGTTCTAAATTGTCCTTTTGTTCTTTTCAGTTTCTGTAAGTGAAAACTGCTGTACTTTAAATGGAGAATTCTTACCTTGGTCATGGTAAGAATTCCCCATTTTTTTACCTCGATATAAAATAAGAATCTGAAACAAGAGGAATAACAAAAATACAGATAAAATGCATCATTTTACACGACAGCACATTTACCGTCTAGACAGTAAGAACTATAGCCAGGAAACGTGATAAAGCGATTCATTGTTTTAAGACGACGAAACTACAACTAAAGGGCGCCTAAAAACTATATAGTTTTTATAGTTTTGAGGCGCATTTTAGATTCTTATCCTATTCAATTTCAAGCTTGACTTTTCCATTTCCCTTTTGTATTTTTGGCGGTTACGGCGTAAACCAACTGCTGTAACACAAAACCATTTCGGTTTGTACGAAACCATTTGTCGTCACGCTTAACCATTTGGGGTCACGCTAAACCATTTGGGGTCACGCTAAACCATTTGGGGTCACGCTAAACCATTTCACTTTACGGTGATTAGATTGATGCGATACTAAACCATTGCGGCTTACGATTAACCATTTGCCGATAACCTAAGCCATTTCACACTTCCCTGAACCGTTTGTGTCAAGTTACTGAACCAAAGTACAGTTAGCTGAACCGTTTGTCATTTCGACACTGAACCATTTCAGTTAACACTTGGCCACTCATGTTTTTATTGAATCAGTTCAACTTAGGGTGGCTACACAGCTCCTGAATTGTATAAACCATATTTTGTTTGAATATTTCATTTCACCAAAGGCGACTTGTCCATTTGTATTTTAAATAATTCTCTAACGATAAGATAAATCGTTCTCCAAAAGACAATTAGACTCTATCTGTTATTACAAACCAATTCTATTTTTGTATTTTTGGCGGTGACAGCCGCCCATATGTGGGCTCTTCTTTCAATTTACGTTGAAGAATTTCCGGCTTCAAGCTTGCACAGATTTATGGGCCAAGAATCTCCCTGTTTCATTTTCACAACGCGCCGTTGCGATTCTCCGTTCCATGACATAGCTTTCGAGTCTTCTTAGTACTTTTTCTGTCTTAGTGACTTTGAAACATTTTCATGACGGACTGAGGAAGCAAGGTCGTAAAATAGTCAAACGTGCTTTCCATTTCCGCGACAGAGGTAAGAACGCATGGTTGTATCAGATTTTTGAGTATAAAGTAAATACTTTTATTTCAAATTTTTTTAGTTGAGATTTCCTCCTTCAAATGTTCCTCATCTGTCCGAACTTTCTCTGATTTCCGACAATGAAAGACGTTCCTGCAGTTAAGTGACAACGATTGCCAACTTTTACTTTATTCTGGCGTGTATTAACTGTATTGCCGCTTCGTGTTAGTTATAAGCTTATTAAGCTGAGCTTATTTTAACAAGTTACAGCTTTCGAATTCACAAAAATTTGCAAGCAATGCCTGCCATTTACCTTGGACAAAATAAGTCATTCGGGAGAGTTACAAAGGATATCCAAATTATCGATTTGATTCAGTGCAAGCCCTTTTGATCGCAACACTTTCAGTTTCGTTTGCGTGTCATGCGGAGCATGTACACAATCGTGTTTGGCACAAGCTTTCATGTCGGGCTTATGTACGAATTAACTTAATTTGCTCCCGTATTTACGATGCATTTGATCAAAAAGCGATAAACGTTTTCAGCGTATTTCATGTGTTTATGTTTATCATTTTATACTGTAGTTTGAAAGTGATTTTTTCTTTTCGATAGACAGCTTAGATTGTCCTTCCAAACTGTACTGTAAAACTGATTTCCTTGTTAAATATTGAGACAAGTTGATTTTTTTTTCAAATTCAGCTAGTTATTTACTGCAAGAGTCCTTTCAATTAACTACATTCGAGTTTTAGGAGTCCAATTCATCAACTGGTAATGATTGATTAGTGTCTGAGTGAAGTTTTACCTTTTGTCATCTGCTAATCAACATACGATCAATCAATAATCACACCAACTGAATGTTTCCGATCAATTTTTTTTTTATCAAAACTGGTTTAGTTCTGCATGAGGCTGCATGCATCCAAGTATGTGTTTGGTGATAATTTATGTTGTTATATGGCAAGGTAGTCTTGGGATAAATGTAAAGTTCTGATTGGTTCTTACTTGGTTAGGATTTTGCCACATAAATCATCATTGCACTATACAGAAAATCATAAAACATGTAAATTCATTGTAAACTAATTTAGTCCAAGTGACATTGGTGCATTACAATTACCTTGCTCTCTTGAGGGGTACTAGGGAATATTGGCACCATGTCATTCCTATACTGTTACAACCTTGGGCCAATATACCTCTGTAAAGCCCTGGCAATCAGCTGGTTATATAGAAGTTGTAGTGGTTTTTGTAAAAGCGATATACACTTACAGGCTATTTTGAATTCCAGTTCAATTGACTTCCTTTTTACTTCACATTTATTGAATTTTTTTGTACATGAAGACAGCCAGCAAGGATTATTTGATATTTAAAAAACAACCAGTCATGATTATTAGGAGAATTAAAGTTAGCATCAAAGACAAATCAATTGTGTGCACAGACAATGTAAATATGGAATAACTGCAAAAACAATTAGTTAAATATACATATACTAATAAAGCAAAAATGTCAGCACCTGCACCAAATTGAAATCCATTTCAACATACATCAGCATGCATAAATGTAAATATTTCACTGTTTTTCCTGTGATAAAGTGAAACAGTTGAACTAACAATCACCTATACAAATATGGGCATCAGCTCAACTGTAGGAAATTGAATAAATGAAATATATCTTTTATAAGTTTTGACCAGTAATCCCTATTTAAAAATCAAATAAGAAAATTTTACTTTGGTGTTGTAAAATTTGTTTCTTATGAGAAACGATTCAGCATAAACTCTCTCCTCTTGCGGAGACATGGTGGTCCTATGATTAGTGAGGTGGACGCACAGTCAAGAGGCCTGCATTTGTAGCCTGGCCTGTGCTGGACTCAGGGTCAAGAGGTCTGGGTTCCAGTCAATGTGTTGTGTTCTCGTGCAAAACACTTTACTCTTACAGTGTCTGTCTCCACCCAGGAGTATAAATGGTGGAATGGACTTCCATCCTATCCAGGGCTGGGTAGTAATACTCCCAGTTGCTTCATGTGAGGAAACCAGGATTAAGTAAAGCTCATGCCCTGGACAGGCCACTTTTCAAATCCAGATGGGACCTAACTACCTACCACCTCCTAGTTTAAATGATTTAAATTGCTACTGTTATGAATTATATAAACTTGAAACACACAGATGTTGATTTTTGCCCAATTTATTTTAGTCAATTGCATAGGAATGTCTTTGGTAAATCTTGAAATTTATTGTAATGAGAAGTGAATTACTATTTATTTAAATATTAATGCTTGTTTTCTTCAGTATATATATCTTTTGTTCTTTTACTGCTTTAAATATGTTATTAATATTAATTGCTTGTGATTTTGTGTCTATGTATCCCTCCCATTCTCAGAAGGGAAAAAATATTTAGTTTAGAATTGGGTAATATGTTGAGCTAATTTTTTACCATTTGCAACCATCTTTTTTTCAGGCCAGGATGACTTAAAACAGCAACTTTTTGAAAGAAGCATCCCCTTACAGTTGCTATGGCTAAAGAAAGAAGTCCAATTAAGGTTCCATCTGAAAATGAAGACTTACCTGACAAAGAAAATGCTCCAGATTTTGATGAGGACACTTTACGAGGTGAGCTAGGTTCAACTTTGGCTTGAGTCACGTTAAAACATTTTCTATTCCGCCAGTTTCACTAATGTAAGCAGATGTGGAGAATGATATTAATACACTGCATGACCACTTTAAAGGATATTTGGCCAGTCATGACTCTCTTCTATGATTACAATATGTTGTTCATTGACTGAGAGGATCTATGACATATTTGTTATTTTCTTTTCTCAAAGTTCAAAGCAAATTACACAAAGTTATAATAAGTAAATGCTTTATTTGATCATCATAGAACATCCATTTTGTAAGTTTGCATCATAAGTACCATCATCATCATCATCTTTCCATTATATTATGCAACAATCCATTGAAAGTTTCAACTTCCCCCCAAGCAACCAATTTCCAGTAGAGTGCAAGTGTTATATCATTGAATATGGAGGTGTTTAACCCTTGACACCCTAACATCAGTATCCATATTCTCCACACTAGTCTTTCTATGTTTCTTGTGGTACTGAAAAAGAGAAGTCATTTGAAGATCAATGCTTCTTAGGTTGGTGATCATTTCAGGGAAGGGGGACTGCACACATCCTCCAAGCTTTTCAGGGGATGGGTCAAGTCAGGCAGGTGCAAAAGTGGCAGCTGGCACTAAAGGAAAAATCTTCAGATTTTAAATCTCCAGATCTTGGCAGCTCTGCTTATGCACTAATTAACTACAACCACGGACTTTGACACAAATTATTTTTTATTTTTTCTTTGCAGCCACAGCTGATGTTTATAGGAATGAGGGTAATGAGGCCTTCAAGAAAGGAGATTTCATCAATGCTATTCATTTTTACACCAAAGGAATTAAAATGAACTGCAATGACAAAGAACTGAAGGCCAAACTGCACAACAACAGGGCTATTGCACATTTTAAACTTGGTAAGATGATGAGAGCTTTAACATGCATTTTTTTTCTATTTTGAAGCTATTGAGTTGTCAGTAGTAGTTTTCTGAAAAAGGTGATAATTTTGAAAGCATGCCCGGAAAAATTTACATCTTATCTTGGCCTCTCAAATATACAAAGAACTGAAGTATCCTCTTACCCCAGATATCAACGAGCATCACAAGTTTTTCCCAAAATTATAGTAATGGTAGTTGGTTTGCAACATGTATGGCTAATCAGAGATATTTATTTCAATAACAGGAAATCACCAGGATTCATTAAGGGATGCAGAAGCAGCCATTGGGTTAAATCCAACTTTCATTAAGGCAATTGTGAGAGGTTAGATATGTTAGCTGTACTATAATAATAATAATAATAATAATAATAACAATAATAATAATAATAACAATAATAATAAAAAAAGAACTCAACACTCTAAGGTTAAATGGAGTTCAATCTTGTCTCAATTGACTTTAATTAAGAGGTCGAGACCACCCTGATGTACATTTGAATCCAGTTCTTGACTGCTACGCCATTACTTTGCATTAATCATGATGAGAATATTATTTTGAGCTGGATGAAGAACTCAATGCGGAATGCAAAGCAAAATTTCAGCATGAATATTTTAGTTCCTTAAGTTCAATGAGTCACAGGTGTCAGATATGTTAAGAGCATGTCCACGAGAGCACCGGGCAGTCGTGCTACATGCCATCTCACCGATGTCAAAGAAACTTTGCCAGTTTAAAGGGTCTACCCCAAAACTCAAAAAGACAAACTGGTTTCTGTTTTGGTTTTTTTCTGGGGGGAGATAGACCACTCCCCCGGTTTTTCTTAGTTTTCACTAAGGAAATCGCTTCAAATAGGTAAAATGTATGAAGCTCTCACTGCGATGGTATTGAACCAATTACTTTGAGGATTTGCACACATATTTTTACATCCTTAGTTAATGTCTGCTGCAAGTATCAGTCAGTTTGATGGACGGCTTGTCAATCAACAGAGGCAAATATACGACTGTGTTTTTAGACTTTTCGATTCATCCAAATATTTGACAACTTTGAGGTCAAATATCTCCCGTTGCCAGAAAGCTACAACACTAATCTTAATTACCCTTTATAACCCATTATTTCATCTCTGAAAATCATCAAAAAAATTTGGGCACTACCGTATTTTTGTCTTGGATGCCTTTTAAAATCTGCGACTGTGACAAGTATCTCCCAACTACACCTGTCACGCAATTCTTGCTCTAGGCGGTCACTTGACAAAATAAACCTACATTTTTTTGCTCTTTATACAAGATGATTGATCAAGAAAGGTGAAGAATGTGAAAAACTTTCGAGAAAAACTTTCGAGATACATGTAAAAATCAATGGGAAAATCGTAGCGTTTCTTTCTTCAGTCGTTTATTACTTTGAAGATTTGCTAAAAACATCAGATATGGCTTTTGTACGGCGCAAAACATTCATTAGTCTATAATTTGATGGTTTATCATCATCATTGCTCATTTTAGGAGATTTTAAAGTCACATGCTGCGTGTTGGCTGATATTACTACATGTTCCAGTGTGCTACAACTTCGGCTTTTAAAGACGAGAAATTCTGCGCTCTCGCTCGTGAGCAAATATCAGTAGTTCTTTCGGACTAAAAACTGTGCTTCTATCCCGAAAATAAAATTCAAATAGTGTTGTCGTTGTCACTTACCGCCATCGAACATTTCCATGCAGAACTCCGCTAAGCTAACATCTGTTGTGTGACCCGAAGACTCTCCGTAGGAATTATTCAAGCGGGTTGTTCGTGCTATCTGCTAGATAACAATTTCAAAATAATCTGCAGCTCACTATGATTACTTACCTGCTTCAATCGTAAAATATCTGCATATTTTTTTCAAGCATTCTATTACTACATATAAATCTACATCTCTCTAGATCGAGTGTCGCCGGAGTTTAATTGCGTGACTTGTAAAATTTTCAAATAGGAATGAGCCAGCAGTAATTTGACGAGTAGCCTTGCTGCAAATTTCCCTTGATGAAATCCCAAGACATAGTCAGTTGTTTTCGTAAGCAAAGACAATAAATATGAAAAAAAAAGTGAGATGCAAAAGTCTTTTTCTTTTTTTTAGCTTAATAGCAGCTGTACCCTCTCCTGCAGTCTTCGTCTAAATTTTGCAAGGTCCCTCCTTATCTTCTGCCTTGTTCGGTCAGTTTCGAATTCTGAAGGTAAATCATTGGCAGCGGCCTCTCCGTCCCCATTCATATTTACAGAGGGGGACCTCATCAATGAGTCAATTTTTGTTACGGCAGATAACCGGCTAAAGTATCGAGCAATTTGCTGCTGTATCAACCGGTCAGTCTTAGGCAACATTTCTGGCTGGTGTCGTCCCTTAAACTCGATATTTGGGAAATCACATTAGAGGCTGTTGCCTTACTAGTTTCCTCCCTTGTCCAGCACACGTCTAGGAGATAATTCTCTGCTTTCTGAGAAAAGGTGGCTGTTTTTTGTGTTTTCCAAAGAGCCCATCCAAAGTCCTCTTGGCTAGTTACAGATTGTTCGTCAGAATTTTTACCTGAGGTCCGACCTTGAACGTAGCCATACCCTATAGAATGGCAAGCCGGTCTTAGTCCATTTCCTCTTGATCTTATCCTAGGCGGAATTTTTTTGTCGGCCTCACTGTGTTTGTCTTTGTCAGGGTACATTTGGATGGCAGCCAATGACTGAAACGTCTTGATACATCCTTCTTTTAGCAAGAATATCTCGCTTTCTTGTTCCGTCTATGACGGATTAGGTATAGTTCTCGCGATGACCCGCGTTCAGAAATCTGTGCACGTTGCTGATAACCACCCGCTTCTAAGATTAGTTTGCTGAAGGTTTCTAATGTGACGAGCCTAGTGAGACCCTGAGGTGCTTCAAACTGTGCCAGTTGGTCTGTGCTATAAACTTGTCGCAGTTCTTAAGTCAGAGGGAGGATCGCCCACCTCTATCTATGTGAGCGCCTCTACAGTACCTGCGTATCTCTAGCAATCATATGATATAAAGTTCATCTCAGTCACAAATCACCAGGTAGGAAAACTGATGTTCAGATAAGCGCTCTTCTTGCCCTTCTTCCTTATTCATTACCGGCTCTAAGATAGCGGCTACAGTACGCGTTCTATTTAGGTTTACAGTCACCTTGCCGCCACCAGGAAGACTCGCCACCAGCTTTGATTTCTTCTGCCATCTGCAGATTCATCTCTCTCTCACTTTATGTCTCCGATTTTTATGAGGAGGATACTGGCATTTACGAACCCGAAGGTCTAAATCTCGCACCAAGTTGTGCACGATATACCCACGAATTTAGAGGTGTGAGCTGTTTCCGTCCCTGGCCAGCGCGAGAAAAATAACATTTGGTTCTACAGTTAGTTGCAAATGAACAAGACAACTGCACCATCTTGACTTTATCAATTCGAGTGTTAGATTAAATTGAGGGCTTTTTAGACACTCGATTTCTTATATGACATCACTATGAAGACGTAATACAACTGATACACCTACACTAGATAGGATTAAGAGAGGTTGTCAGTAATTTTCGAGAATCCGGCGACAGAAGCAAAAATTCAACTTTTTTTTTTATTTGCTCCAAAAGACCCTTTTAGTGAATCGTTTTCAAAAATAATATTCAAAAGTTCCAGCGAGTTTTAATTTTGAAAAAAAATACGAAAGTTTGAAATCGGCCAAAACGTACCTAATTTGCATAATTTCTATTAGGCTTTCAGTGCATTTTCACAACGCTCGCACAAGACAACGAAAATGTATCTTGGATTCATTTTTTCGTAAGTTGTTTTTCATCCCTTGGAGTAGCTTTGTAACTATATTTCATCTCCAACTGAACTTTCTTTCGTTTGTAACCACCCGCGTAAAGTACACTATCTTTTCTATTCCGTTTGTACGCTGAATTTTGCTATATTTCAGACGACCATAACATCAAGGGTATACAAATGTGCATAAAATAAAAGAGCTCTTTTCAACGAGAAATTCTTCGTGTTTAGCATGTTAAAATATTATTTTTGGCCCGTGAAAAGCAAGCGCTAGACTAAAATATATAGCGTGCATTTTCACGGAGTTAGGCCATTTTTCTTGCTGTACTCCTACTGCAAATCGCACACTATTGGGACAAAACTCGACGTGTTTGGTCTCTACTTCAGTTTTGATTCATCTAAATATATCAATTTTAGCTTAAAAAATAACCTACCTTTATTGTTGAGTGAACAAACCACCGTTTTAGGTAAAATTTTAGAGTTTTTTTCTCGAATGCTAAATAAACAAATCGCTGTTTACAAAGATACCAGCTCTGTCGACGTGTTTGTAGCTGAAATTAGCCCGTCGCATATACTGTTCTTCAATTTACAATCTATCCCACTGGCATAACTTTGAAGTAAATTACATGTAACTAGAAATGTTGTTGTAATTACGTGAGCGTGATTTAAATAAAATCATCGCACACATAAAATATTCGAAACATGTAGTTGTCGCATGAAAATACTCGCTTAATTGTGCGTGAACCTTGTGTGTACATTCGGTGTTTTGCTCGGTTGCTTTTATAGAATTCTACCACTGTCACTGTAATTAAAATAGTATGTTTGTGTAGTCCACCTCTTTAGATACATTTTCAAATCAACTGTAGGTTGGAATTCTGTTGGTAAAAATTGTCGAAGAAATCCGAGAAAAATGGCATGTAGCACCGGGCAGTCGTGCTACATTCTATCTCACCAATTTCAACGAAACTTTGCCAGGTTAAGGATCTACCCCAAAACTAAAAAAGACAAACTGGTTTCTGTCTTGGTTTTTTTCCGGGGGGATATAGACCACCCCTCCGGTTTTTCTTGATCCTTAGTTAATGTCCACTTCAAGTATCAGTTAATTTGATTGACGTCTTGTCAATCAACAGAGGCAAATAAACGACTTAAGTTTTAGACTTTTCGATTCATCCAAATATTTGACAACTTTGAAAAGTGAGATGCAAAGATCTTTATTATTTTTTTTAGCTTAATAGCAGCTGTACCCTCTCCTGCAGTCTTCGTCTAAATTTACAAGGTCACTCCTCATCTTCTGCCTTGTTAGAGGCGGTTGCCTTACTAGTTTCCTTCCCTGTCCAGCTCATGTCAAGGAGATAATTCTTTGCTTTCTGAGAAAAGGTGGCTGGTTTTTGTGTTTTCCAAAGAGCCCATGCAAAGTCCATTTGGCTAGTTAGGGATGTTTCGTTAGAAGTTTTCCTGAGGTCCGACCTTGAATGTAGCCACCCCCTTTAAAATGGCAAGCCGGTCTTCGTCCATTTTCTCTTGATCTTATCATAGGCGGATTTTTTTGTCAGCTTTTTTTGTTTGCCTTTGTTAGGGTGCTTTTGGATGGCAGCCAATGACTGAAACGTCTTGATAAATCCTTCCTCTTAGCAAGAATATCTCGCTTTCTTGTTCTGTATGTGACGGATTGAATATAGTTCTCGCCATGACCCGCGTTCAGGGATCTGTGCACGTTGCTGATAACCACCCACTTCTACGATTAGTTGCTGAAGGTTTCTAATGTGATGAGCCTAGTGAGACCCTGAGGTGCTCCAAACTGTGCCAGTTGGTCTGCGCTATATAAACTTGTCGCAGTTCTTAAGTCAGTGGGAGGATCGCCCACCTCTATCTATGTGAGCGCCTCTACAGTACCTGGGAATCTCTAGCAATCATATGATATAAAGTTCATTTCAGTCGCAAATCATTAGTTAGGAAAACTGATGTTCAGATAAGCGCTCTTCTTGCCCTTCTTCCTTATTCATTGCTGACTCTAAGATAGCAGTTATAGTACGCGTTCTATTAGGTTTACAGTCACCTTACCACCAGGAAGACTCGCCACCAGCTTTGATTTCTTCTGCCATCTTCAGATTCACCTCTCTCTCAACTTTACGACTCCGATTTTTATGACGAGGATACTGGCATTTACAAACCCGAAGGTCTGAATCTCATACCAAGTTGTGCACGATATTTGAGGCGTATCGTGAAATCGCGGCCTTCGTAATCTCCAAATAAGCCAGTGCGCGCTAGAATAAGCTTCTTCTCGGACGAAACTCATATTTAGGGTACATTGACGTCTTTCAAATGTTTTTTTTTTATGCTGTACACCCACGAGTTTAGAGGTGTGAGCTGTTGCCGTCCTTGGCCAGCGCAAGAATTGAGACCTTTTTGGACACTCGATTTCTTATATGGCATCACTATGAAGACGTAATACAACTGATACACCTACATTACATAGGATTAACAATGTCTGTTGCGCTGTTGCGAGAGGGAGGAAAACATTACCGGCAGTGTAAATTCTTTAAGAGTTTCAGAGACTTTTCAGAGATGTCTCTTTGGCTGTCACAAAAAATTGACCCTCTCTTAAATTTACTGGGAAAAATGAACTTACAAACTCCTTACAAACAATTTTGCTTTTTCCTCGGGCTGTTATAAAACAGATCATAAATTGACCAGTGAATAAATTATTTTGAAGCATCGTTCGGAATTTGCCTTTTTTGCGTTCAAATCAAGGGTAGACAAAGTTTATAAAACATTTGACAAGAATTTCATGGGGTTCACCTCGATAATTTTCAAGACACACCAAGCAAAGTGACATCGCCCTCCAGTAAAATAATTTTCCAAAGAATAAATGTGGCGAGCGTGGGGAAACGCACGTTTTTTTTCATTATTGTGATCAAAGCCCAATGATGTACCTAAATTGGTACTTACGGAATCAAACCATTGATTATGACGGGGTGAGCTTAATTTTTCTGTCGAGGTCGACGTGACTTCACATTAGAAGCGTTTTTAAAACAAACTATTGAGCATCACTGCACGAACTGAGGAAGTAAAAACTTGTATTTATCTCCCACGCATTTCGTCTAACAATAGTAGACTTCATCAATGAGTTTTACAAGTAGGGTAAATAAGCTTTCTCATATACAAATAGTAAATAAGTTGTCTCTTTATTGAAGCCAGTGGATATAATTCGCCAGGCGCGCTTACCGTGTTATACATGCGTGACATTTTTCGGACGTTACATGTACGAGTACGTAATCTGTTTGAAGGTCACAGATTTAGTGTAAATATTTGACCCCTCGACGTCACGTAATGTGTCTAGTTTACAGAGGTCTTAAAAAGCTTCATTACTTGGATTTGCCTTCTGCGCGTAGAGGGCTACAAGCGAATTTCTCGGGTGTAATTGCTTTTGATTTCTCAACTGATGTTGTCGCAAACACAGCTTTTGGGAGTCACGAAACAAAAAACTTATCAGGACCTAGTTTCATGTACTAATGGAAGTAAATGGCAAATAAAAACATATTCTCTTGAGAAATAAAGTTATAAATAACAGGGGTTCTTTGAAACAAATTGTGATAGAAAAGGTTTCAGTTCTGGTCAATATTGACTTTTCATAGCCTACTTCCGAATCTGAGGGAACGCGCTGAGGGAATAAAAAAAACATACATGTGTGATATTGCAAGGAGAAGAATAAAAACACAAATAAAGAAAAAGGAAAAAAAATAGAAACTCGTGTTGCAGTGCGCAGATATCTTTTGAGCCAGACCTACACACTTATGCCCGACACCACGCAAAGAAACTCGAAAGAGTGCTGTATATGAACTTGTTCGCACGTGCACGCAGGAATGGCCATGACAATCAGCGAAAATAATAGCAAATGCAGATTATATTTGCAGTCAAAAAACAGGCAAATAAGATAAAGAAAAATAAGATAAAGGAAATTATAATAAGATAAAGAAAAAAAAAACAATTTTTACTTCTCATGAAAGGTCACGCAGTTAGGCTACAAATACTATTTCTACGTGGAATTTCTTGATGGTGGAAAGTGGAAAAACCATTCTCCAGTCTTATTTTCCGGAAACATGGCGCAGTTAATGAATTTTATGGGGCTATTGATATTTCCTATAAAATAAGGGGGCAGAGTTTCCCGTCATCCGCGTTCTGGAAAAGCCGAAATTGTTACACTCGGGAACTTGTACGTCAACAAGCACGCGACATGTGAATTTTAAATCTCCTCTCCTGTTACAGTTTCCTTATTGTGAACTGTGCGATAATGATAATACACAATCTAATTGTAGACTAATGAATGTTTTGGTTTTGTACAAGTGCCCTATATCCTGATTTTAGCAAATCTTTAAAGTAATAAACGACAGACGAAAGAAACGCTACGATTTTCCCATCGATTTTTCAGCAAAAAACACGTCAACAGAGCTGGTATCTTTGTAAACAGCGATTTGTATATTTAGCATTCGAGAAAAATTAACTCTAAAATTTTACCTAAAACGGTGGTTTGTTCACTCAACAATGAAAGTAAGTTACTTTTTAAGTTAAAATTGATATATTTAGATGAATCAAAACTGAAGTAGAGACCAAACACGTCGAGTTTTATCCCAATAGCGTGCGATTTGCAGAAGGAGTACAGCAAGAAAATGGCCTAACTCCGTGAAAATGCACGCTATATATTTTAGTCTAGCGCTTGCTTTTCACGGGCCAAAAATAATATTTTAACATGATAAACACGAAGAATTTCTCGTTGAAAAGAGCTCTTTTGTTTTTTATGTACATTCGTATACCCTTGATGCTATGGTCGTCTGAAATATAGCAAAATTCAGCGTACAAACGGAATAGAAAATATAGTGTACTTTATGCGGGTGGTTACAAACGAAAGAAAGTTTATTTGGAGATGAAATATAGTTGCAAAGCTACTCCAAGGGATGAAAAACAACTTATGAAAAAATGAATCCAAGATAATTTTTCGTTGTCTTGTATGAGCATTGTGAAAATGCACTAAAAGCCCAATAGAAATTATGCAAATTAGGTACGTTTTGGCCGACTTCGAACTTTCGTATTTTTTTCCAAAATAAAAACTCGCTGGAACTTTTGAATATTATTTTTGAAAACAATTCACCAAAAGAGTCTTTTGGAGCAAATAAAAAAAAGTTGAATTTTTGCTTCTGTCGCCGTATTCTCGAAAATTACTGACATCCTCTCTTAACAATGTCTGTTGCGCTGTTACGAGAAGGAGGAAAATATTACCGGAAGTGTAAACTCTTTTTAAAAAGAGTTTCAGAGACGTTTCAGAGATGTCTATCTTTGATCGGCTGTCACAAAAAATGACCCCCACTTACATTTACTAGGAAAAATGAACTTCCCAACTCCTTGTTGAAAAAATTGGAATTCATTTGACCGATACGCCGGTTGTTTCAATTTTTCTTTTTCCTCGGGCTGCTATAAAACAGTTCATAAATTGACTAATGAATAAAATGTTTTGAAATACCGTTCGGAATTTGCCTTTTTTTTTCTGCGTGCAAATCAAGGGTAGACAAAGTTTTTAAAACATTTGACTACAATTTCATAGAGTTCACCTCGATAATTTTCGTCGGCCAGAGTCAAGATGCGCCAAGGTAAGCGACATCACCCTCTATTAAAATAATTTTTCAAAGAATAAACGTGGCGAGCGTGAGGAAACGCACAGTTTTCTCATCATTGTGATCAAAGCCCAATAATGTACCTAAATTGGTACTTACAGTCTCAAACCATTGATTATGACAGGGTGAGCTTAATTTTTCTGTCGAGGTCGACGTGACTTCACATTAAAAACGTTTTTGACGGAACAAACTAGTGAGCATCACTGCACGAACTGAGAAAGTAAAAACTTGTATTTATCTCCCACGCGTTTCGTCTGACAATAGTAGACTTCATCAAGGATTTTTTCAAGTAGGGTAAATAAGGTTGTTCATATACAAATAGTAAATAAGTTGTCTCTTTGCTATTGAAGCCAGTGGATAGAATTGGCCAGATGCGCCTACGGTGTTATACATGCGTGACATTTTCCGGACGTTACATGTACGAGTACGTGATCCGTTTGAGGGTCACAGATTTAGTGTAAATATTTCACTCCTCAACATCACGCAATGTCTCTAGTTTACAGAGGTCTTAGAACGTTTCATTATATGGAGTTGCCTTCTGCGGGTAGAAGGCTACAAGCGAATTTCTCAGGCGTAATTGCCCTTGATTTCTCAATTGATGTTGTCGCAAACACAGTTTTTGGGAGTCACGAGACAAAAAAACTTATCAGGACCTAGTTTCATTTGCTAATGGAAATAAATAGCAAATAAAAACACATTTTCTTGTGAAATAAAGTCACAAATGACGGGGGTTCTCCGAAACAAATAGTGATAGAAAAGGATTTCAGTTCTGGTCGATATTGACTTTTCATGGCCTACTTCCAAATCTGAGGGAACGCGCTGAGGGAATAAAAAAACATAAATGTGTGATAATGCAAGCAAGAGAATGAAAATCCAAATGAAGAAAAAGGAGAAAACATAGGAACCCGTGTTGCAGCGTGCAGATATCGTTTGAGCCAGACCTACACACCTAAGCCCGACACCACCCGGAGAAACTCGAAAGAGTCCTGTATATGAACTAGCTCGCACGTGCACGCAGGAAAGGCCATGACAATCAGCGAAAATAATAGCAAATGCAAATGATATTTGCAGTCAAAACACAGGAATATATGATAACAGAAGGATTAAGAACTTTCTAGAAGTGTCTTCTTGAAAAAAAAGATGAACAATTTTTACTTCTCATGAAAGGTCACGCAGTAACCCTACAAATATTACAACTACAATACTATACGTGGTATTTTTTGATGGTGGAAAGTGGAAAAAACATTTTCCAGTCTTATTTTCTGGAAACATGACGTAGTTAATGAATTTATGGGGCTACTGGTACTGGCTCCTACCAAATAAGGGGGGCAGAGTTTCCTGTCATTCGTGGTATGGAAAAGCCGAAGTTGTTACACTCGGGAACTTGTATGTCAACAAGCATTCGACATGTGACTTTAAAATCTCCTCTCCTGTTACAGTTTCCTTATTGTAAACTGTGCGATGATAATAATAGACGATCAAAGTATAGGCTTATGAATGTTTTGTTCTGTACAAGAGCTCTATGTCCTGATTTTAGCAAATCTTCAAAGTAATAAACGACTGAAGAAAGAAACGCTACGATTTTGCCATTGATTTTTCGTCTACATGCATCTCTCTAAACGTAAAACTTTCTATTCCTACAAAAAATCTCGAAAGTTTTTCATATTTTTTACCTTTCTTGATCAATCATCTTGTATAAAGAGCAAAAAAATGTAGGTTTATTTTGTCAAGTGATCGCCTAGAGCAAGAATTGCGTGACAGGTGTAGTTGAGAGAAACTTGTCACAGTCGCAGATTTTAAAAGGCATCCAAGACAAAAACACGGTAGTGCCCAAATTTTTGGATGATTTTCAGAGATGAAATAATGGGTTATAAAGGGTAATTAAGATTAGTGTTGTAGCTTTCTGGCAACGGGAGATATTTGACCTCAAAGTTGTCAAATATTTGGATGAATCGAAAAGTCTAAAAACACAGTAGTATATTTGCCTCCGTTGATTGACAAGCCGTCGATCAAACTGACTGATACTCGCGGCGGCCATTAACTAAGGATGTAAAAATATGTGTGCAATTACTCAAAGTAATCGGTTGAATACCATCGCAGTGAGAGCTTCATACATTTTACCTATTTGAAGCGATTTCCTTGGTGAAAACCAAGAAAAACCGGGGGGGGGGTGGTCTATCTCCCTCCGGAAAAACTAAAACAGAAACCAGTCTGTTTTTTTTTAGTTTTGGGGTAGACCCTTTAAATTGGCAAAGTTTCACTAAAATCGGTGGGATGGCACGTAGCACGACTGCTGGTGTTCTCGTGGACACGCTCTTAAGTCACTATCTGGCTGTTTTAAAAAGAAGCATCAGGACTTAACTCTTAGCGTTTTTGTGGGAGTTGTTGATCCCAATTTAAATGTTCTTGGAAGTTTTAATTGTCTGTAAAGCTAAATAAATCTAACTGAAACCTAATAGGGCCTGTTTATTCTTTTCCGTTTAGTTTTTTTGTTTTGTTTTGTTTTGTCTTTTTTTTTCTTCTGGTCTGTAATGATTTCAATGGTTTCAGGTTCTTTTCTCGGAATTGAGCTACAGTAAAGTATGCTTCTTTGTGTTGTTGCCTGCAGGAGCCACTGCTTGTGTTGAATTGAAGAGATTTGAAGAAGCAATCAGTTGGTGTGATAAGGGACTATCAGTATCCTTTGAAGGAATCTTTCATTTTTAACCGTGGGTATAATGGAAATAGTTTCCATAATTTGATGTTTCAAGGGAGAAAATACAAAGAAGGGTATTAATTATGATGGGAACTTGTCAGCTCACATACTTTAAGTGTGTGTCATTAAGACACGTAGGAAAAGTTATTACCTCATGACTTATTAAAGAAATTACTCATTTTAGCCAATTTGACTTAGTTATACTATCCATGCCAATAACTGGTACATTAGTTTAGATAACCCTTTAATTCAGAGACCAAGTTTGTAATTATCCTTACTGTTAACCGTACGATTTTTGTAATGTTAGTTCAAAGAATTCAGCACTGGATCAACTAATTATCCCCAAATTGATATTTTTTTTACTCTCAACACTCATCTGATTGATATTGTATTGCTATTGTAAGGAAAAGTTCTCTCTTGGTCACTTATGGGAGTTAAAGGGTTAAAAGACTAATATTCATCCAGTTTATACATGGTACGTGGGTAGATGATCTCTCTAAAACAAGCCAGAACAAAAAGCTCAGTAATGTTTAGATATCTTATGCAGATTTTCTTGCCTTCGACCTTTTTCCACTTCTTAGAGACTCGGAAACTTTCGTCCTGCTTTCCTATGGACAAATAAAAACTTTAAAGACACGTATTGGTGTTGTAGACTCATTTCTTCCACTCCTGTAAAACATTCGTCTGCTGTTAAAGCTATATTAATTTAAAAATTGAGCAAGTGCTGCTCAGTTTTTGGAAACTAGGGATTAAATTTAGATATTTCGCGTTAAATTTTGAGGCTGCACACTGAAAAAAGATTTTTTGAAATGTAAATTTACTTCATAATTGACTTTAAGACTGAATGTTGATAAAACATCTATCTTTCATGCAAGCCCTCCTGAAGGGCCATTTTATAGTTGTGTACTTAGTTGCCAAGCCTTTGATTTGGAGTAAAGCTGAAGATGACCTTGTTGTGATAGATACCAGTGTCTAGAAACGATAATAACAAAGTAGTTTGCCTTAAATAGCAGCAATGTTTTTATTATAACAAGGTCACCCTTAGCCACACTCCTGTTCAAAGGCTTGGGAACCAAGCACGCAAATGTTAAAATGGACTATCATAAATCAATATGATCAGAAAAATAATATTTTTTTGTTTTTTCCACATTTTTAACCCTTAACATAAAATAAGATTGACAAAAACAATAGGATCTTGTTGTCATTAAGACTTCAGTCTGTCAGTGAAGTGGGAGATAAGTCCATGGAGGAAAAAGATCCTATTAGTCATGACCATGGTAGTGCAAGTTCAGGTGATGTCAAGAAAGTCATAGATCTCTATAATCGGGGAGAAAAAGCCATAAAGTACCTCAACCTATATCTTAAAAAAGCTAAAGAAGTAGGAGACAAGCATGGGGAGGGTAACGCTTATGGCAATCTTGGCAATGCTTATCACCGTCTGGGTGATTTCAAAAAAGCCACAGAGTACCACAACCTACATCTTAAAATAGCTAAAGAAGTAGGAGACAAGCATGGGGAGGGTAACGCTTATGGCCATGTTGGCAATGCTTATCACCGTCTGGGTTATTTCAAAAAAGCCATAGAGTACAACAACCTACATCTAAAAATAGCTAAAGAAGTAGGAGACAAGCATGGGGAGGGTGGTGCTTATGGCAATCTTGGCAATGCTTATAGGAGTCTGGGTGATTTCAAAAACGCCATAGAGTACCACAACCTACATCTTAAAATAGCTAAAGAAGTAGGAGACAAGCATGGGGAGGGTGTTGCTTATGGCAATCTTGGCAATGCTTATTACCGTCTAAGTGATTTCAAAAACGCCATAGAGTACCACAACCTACATCTTAAAATAGCTAAAGAAGTAGGAGACAAGCATGGGGAGGGTGGTGCTTATGGCAATCTTGGCAATACTTATATTAGTCTGGGTGATTTCAAAAACGCCATAGAGTACCACAACCTACATCTTAAAATAGTTAAAGAAGTAGGAGACAAGCATGGGGAGGGTAACGCTTATGGCAATCTTGGCAATGCTTATCACCGTCTGGGTGATTTCAAAAACGCCATAGAGTACCACAACCTACATCTTAAAATAGTTAAAGAAGTAGGAGACAAGCATGGGGAGGGTAACGCTTATGGCAATCTTGGCAATGCTTATCACCGTCTGGGTGATTTCAAAAAAGCCATAGAGTACCACAACCTAGATCTTAAAATAGCTAAAGAAGTAGGAGACAAGCATGGGGAGGGTAACGCTTATGGTAATCTTGGCAATGCTTATTTTAGTCTGGGTGATTTCAAAAATGCCATAGAGCACCACAATCTACATCTTAAAATAGCTAAAGAAGTAGGAGACAAGCATGGGGAAGGTAACGCTTATGGCAGTCTTGGCAATGCTTCTGACTGTCTGGGTGATTTCAAAAAAGCCATAGAGTACCACAACCTACATCTTAAAATAGCTAAAGAAGTAGGAGACAAGCATGGGGAGGGTACCGCTAATGGCAATCTTGGCAATGCTTATATTAGTCTGGGTGATTTCAAAAAAGCCATAGAGTACCACAACCTACGTCTTAAAATAGCTAAAGAAGTAGGAGACAAATGCTTGGAGGCAATTGCCTACTATTCATTAGGATCCGTTTTTGAGTTGCAAGGTGGACTGCCAAAAGCCGTTGAACATTACCAAGCCAGCATAAACTTATTCAATTCCTTGAGAGAACTTCTAAAATCTAAAGATGAGTGGAAAGTTAATTTTCGAAATCAGCATCAAATAGCGTATACGGGTTTGTGGAGAGTTCTCGTAGAACAAGGTAATGTAGATGAAGCCTTATTTGTTGCTGAGAAAGGACGAGCTCAAGCTCTGACCGACCTCATGGAATCCAGTTTTTGTGGTGGAACAAGTCACCACAAGGGAGAAGATGAAGATTTCGCAGTTTTAAAAAACGTTCCATCAAACACTGTCTTTCAGGCAGTGGACAAAGCTCACGTCAATCTCTGGGTTGTGTCCGGAGGAAAGCAAGTTCAGTTAAGACAAAGTAAACTCAAAGGTTTTGTTTCAGAGAATAGTGGATCTAGCCAGTCCTTTGAGTCGTTCATGCTCGGTGTCTATACACAACTTGGTGTTTGTTCTAATGTGAGATGCGAGAATCGATCTTTAGATGCTTTGAGGGAGGGCCGTTCAAAAGTGGATGAGAAAACCAAAGAAGCCAACCCTCAACCTCACATCCAACAAGACGGATGCTTGAGCAGTTTGTATAATATCGTTATTAAGCCGGTGGCTGACTTGATTGAAGGGGATGAGCTACTCATTATTCCTGATGGGCCCCTGTGGATCGCTCCTTACGCTGTATTGAAGGATGGTAATTCTAAATACCTGTGTGAATCGTTCACAATCCGAGTCGCTCCATCGTTAGCAAGTCTTAGACTCATTGCCGATTGCCCAGATGATTATCACAAAAGCAGTGATGCGTTACTTGTAGGAGATCCCTGGGTATCCGAGGTTACTAACAGCGAGGGAGAGAAAGTCCTCGAGCAGCTTCCGTGTGCTAAAGAAGAAGTAGAAATGATCGGAAAAATTCTGAATATCACGCCAATCACTGGCAGACAAGCCACGAAACGTGAGGTGTTGAAAAGACTCAGTTCTGTTTCCTTAGTTCACTTTGCGGCACACGGATGTGCGGAAACTGGCGAAATTGCTCTTACACCTGACCTAGACCGAATATCTACTGTGCCTACGGAGAAGGGGGATTACATTTTAACGATTCGAGATGTGTTGAATGTTCAACTTCGCGCCAAACTTGTTGTGCTCAGTTGCTGCCACAGTGGTCGGGGCGAGATCAAGGCCGAAGGTGTGGTTGGCATTGCGCGCGCTTTTATGGGGGCTGGTGCTCGGTCTGTTGTGGTGTCCTTGTGGGCGATTGATGACGAGGCTACTCTCCAGTTCATGAAATGCTTTTATCAACACCTTGCAGAAGGTAAACCTACAAGCAAGTCACTGAACCTGGCCATGAAAAGCCTCAGAGAATCAGATGAGTTCCACGAAATCAAGTACTGGGCGCCCTTTTTGCTGATTGGAGATGACGTCACTCTTGATCTCATGGCTATTACGCAGTTCGCAGAACCACATAAACATAAGACTCGAAAGCGAAAACTCAACCATCTATTTACAGGTATTCCAATGAAAGTCCACAAATGTTCCAGTAATCAAGCCGAGTAAACATTCAGTTAGGCAATAGGGCAAGTTTTCTACGAAGAGAAATTACACCTTTAGCGAGCGAAATTACGATAAACACGAAATAAGATAGAACTTACCGTCTGTTCGGAGTTTAGAGTGACCATAACTCAACAATTTTGGTGAGCAAAATATGCCAGTACAAACACGGCGACTGGTTCTTGTTCTACAAAGCGCATGGCCGATGTCCTGGATGTTGACGTCAAAATGCAGGTACGCGATGGGAGCCTCAATGGCAAAGGAAATAGAAAATTTGAATTTAAAATCACATAAATCAAAAATTGTCGTTCTTTTTAAATCTTAAAAAGAATGAAAAAACGGCGCAGAAACGTAGAAGGTTTAAATTTTTTCTAGTATGGCAATTTTTCGTTACTTTTTACTTTTTTGTTAAATGGAACTTGAGATGTGTAACTTTACTTTGGTGAAGAAATAAAACAGTCTATTTTATTATATTTTGATCAGTGGAGTTGTCCTTTTTTTTTCTTACTTTTACAAATATAAATGCTTGCGAAGAGAACGAAATATAACAGGGCTTCTGTTATGAATACCTGCAGTAGTTGAAGGCGGTTACGAGGTTTCCGTTTTCGCCAAACTGACGCTCGGCTCCATTCCTTTATTACAATTAGTTGTATGGGAAACAATTTAAACGTTTTTTTTTTCATATACATCACCAGGAGCTTGTCCACAGGGTTTTATTTACGTTTATATTCTCAGCCTTTGCTAAGTTACAAAAGTTGGCGAAATTTTAATTTGAAAAATTTGATTTGCAATTTTTGCAGCCATATGTTAATTAAACTTGGATGATTTTCCTTCATCATTAATTCCTTTGTTACAAGTTGAGATTATCTTTATTATTTCTTTTCAATCCATCTTAATGCAATCCAATTCTATCAGTGCCAAGATTGCCATTCTAAGCTTAATTTCAAGAAGTAAACATCAGAGATAATGTTATTGAATTTACTGACTATATTTTTGACATTAGACCTTCTTTTAGGGGTGTAGCCAGCTTCTAGTCCCGTAGGCCCGGCCTACCTTTTTTTTCTTTCGCCCTGCAATAATATGACTCTTTCAAATTTTGAAACAAAAATTGGAATCTCTTAGGGGACAGGTCTTTAACAAGTCAAAAAGCTGGCTACAACCCTGTTCTTAATCAAATAAGTTTGGTCAATTTTAGTCCGTTTTATCGGATACTAATCTGTTTGTTTTTAAGAACCACGACAGAGAGGTTAAAAATTTTACTTATAATCTAAACAAGGAAATAGCGAAACAAATTTCACTGTAACTGAAGTTTCCATAGCTGTAACTTTCAATGCATGTGAAATGGAATTAGTTGTTTTTAGTAGTAAAATATTTACTCCCGTAAACTAGAGAAGTAATTAAAACGAGCTGTGTAGTCCTCAATGGGAATTATTTTGGTGAAAAGGTTCATGAATAGATGTAAATCTAATCCGTAGTTGGTCAGCAGGGGACGTTAAAAAACCCACACACTTGTCGAAAAGAGTAGGGGGCGTAGTTCCCGGTGTGGTGGTCTATCTGTTGTTTCATTGTACATTTCATGCATGGGCTGGGTGGGTGAGTGAGATCAAATATGGACTGATAGCGGCAGCCAGAGGCGCCTTTACAAGCTGACGTTCGATCTCACTCAATTAGAATTGTAAACCGCCTTGAGACAGTATGTGATATGTGCGGTATATAAATACACATTCATTCATTCATTCATGTGCTGGTATAAAATGTAATAAATAACCTCGCACATGGTTGAATATGATGTAACGTAGGATTTTAAAAACAAGCTGGGACAGTTTTAACCTAGCATGCTTTGTACAATGTCAGTGTATTTCGTGTAAAGTGTTTGATACTATTTTTAAATACAGTTGAAGATAATTGTTCATTTACCTTAGTTTAATTAACTCATCCACTCCCAAGTTCTGAAGAAAAATTCTCCCAAGAGATAAGAATGTGTTTCTTTGTTCCTTCATTCCGAGAATTTATTGTTACATTACGTTTCTATCAAAAAATTATCCTCCAGTTTGGATTTTCTCAAATTCTTATTGACACCACGTTTTTCGGTGTATTAATACTCTGAGGAGAATTTAAATTATAAAAGTCTTGGGAGTAAAGGGGTTCATTTCAGTGTCTCTTTTTAGCGCGGTTTTTACTTAATGCCTTTGACAATTTAATGCAGTTCCTATGGTACTTATTTCTTAACTTCTTTGTGTAACAGAAATATCCAGTGTATAAAATACAAAAACCGCGTTAATTTTCATTGTCTGTCTCCATATTGTTAGGATTCACGTGAGATGCAGAGAGAACAGATCCTATGCCCGGCGGACTTCAATGCTTGTTTTGACCCGCGCGCACCAAGTTGATAATGTGTGCAGCTGACAGTTACTAACATTCCATGCTTCAAGCCCCCACCCACTCATCAAATGCCCGTTGTCTCTTTGATTGTATCTCTGCCACTGTCTATCGTTCTCCATATTGTCATACGGGTTTTGAACGCCAACGGACGTGTTCATACTTTTGCGCCTTTTTCACCTTTTTCCTTACACAAATTTTTACATCTTTTCACATTTGCGCATCCCTTTTTACTGCTTTCTTTTGTTCCTTAGGATTCGTGACATGAAGAAAGATTGGTGTTAAAAACATCCAAGGTTCTTGTCCTCCAGCCTTATTTAACGTTACTCTTTAAATGGCGAACCTTTTTTATGTGTATTTACACCATCAACAGAATTACGTAAAAAAGAAAAGCTTTGCTGTTTCAGTAATTGTTGAATGTTTTTAGTTTGAAAAAAGCACGAAATCTGCAAAAGAACAAAGGCAGTTTAAAAATTTCTTACGTGACTAACTTTATTTTCCTTGGCTGTATATATCTTTATCCTCCATGTAGTAAACATTAAATTTTTATTTGATATGTTCGAAGCTTAAGGTAATAAGAATTACATTTTTTAATCGTTAAATGCAGAATCAAAAACATCTAATTCAAAATAAAAAAATTCAAAGTAGATTTAAAAGTTCAGTAGTTTTTCTTAATAATTGGTAATTCATATGTCAGCGTCCGTTCATCGAGATATAAAACGCGCGGGAAGTTTGGAGAGCATGAAAGATGTGTAAGAATTGCTCGAGGCGTAGCCGAAAGCAACTCTAGCTTCTTGTTTTATAACATTTTCAACCCGATGGTTTAACTGTTGTAAAAGGGTAAATATTCCCTCTGCTACGCTTCGGCGCGTTGATAATTTTATTTAAGGAAAACATTTCGCTACGCTGTAAACGATCTTGTCTTAGATTGGTCAAAAAACTGACAGGTGAAATCACGCGTGTTAATGAACTTTATTTTCTGATTGAATACAAAATTCTCGCGGGATTTGTTTGTGACGTCATGAGCGTGCACAATAGGAATATGAAGCACGCTCACGCAATTAAATTTGATGAGACAAATTTACGCGCTATGTTATGATTTGTTTTGATGGCTGTTTCTTTAATTCAATCAAAAAAGGAATTGAAAATCGAGGTGCACTAAATTTAAACGGGAAAAGATATCACGACATTTTTCATATCTTAAATATAAAGACAAAAGCAATTAATATTGAAGTAAATTCTCGTCATTTTTGATGTATCGACGATCGAATTGTTTTTAATGCACCGAACCGCGTAGTTTGAAAACATGAGGATTATTTTTCACAGGAAGCTGTTGCTGAATGTCATTTAGTTAAACCCGCTTTAACTTGGCATGTTTTGCTGATGTGATTGGAACACATTTTGTTCTTAAAACACTGGAGCTTGATGAACCCTAAGCCTTGAGTATGTCATTTAATCTGGAAATACCCAGGGGCATAGCCAGAAGGTTCGTAATTATCCTTCATGTTTTTATAAGAGGTTCTTAACTGAATAACTCTTTTGAAAATAGCAGAAACACTTAAATTATATTTATCTAGACAGCACTTTGTATGCTTTGAAGATGAAAATTCTCTGAATTTCCAGGCGACTTCGGTCATTTCGTCTCTTATTCGGTCAACGCACGGTTGAAATAGTTTTTTTTATGAGCCGTAACGTGTTGGTCTGAAACTTATGGAAAGTTAGGTATTTATTTTTAAAGCACATTATTTGTGCTCAATTGTTTAGATTCCTTTCAATCTAACATATCAAGCTTTACGTCATCAACTATCTTTCAACTGTAGCCAATAACGTCGCGCTATTTGATTGGAACAAAAATAACAGCATATAGAGATGCAGTCTACTGATTAGGCTTCTTTTAGTTGCTTTTAGCCTGGCACCAGCAGCGGGCATTGTAATTAACAACGCATGAATAAATGGGACTAGTTTTTAAGGAATCTGTGGTGCTGCGTTGGTGAAGGGTACAACAAGATAATTTAGGTTTATAATCCAACTACACAAAGTAGAGTTCAAATAACGCGAATATATATACCACATGTACAGCTGGTTATTTTTTACTGTTAAAAAAACCTGTTTAACGGTCGGCTGCGCTTCTCTGTCCGCTTTGTTTTTCCCGCCTTAAGAGAAATGACTAGAAAGACAGAAAAAAGTTGGATAACAAAACTTATTAGACGTTTTTGGTGTGAAGTATTGCAATTGGTGAGTATTTTTACTAGTTGTTTGTATTTTGACCCACCTCACGGGCTCGTCAAAATACGGCACAACTTGAGCTCGTAAAAATACTCAGCGATACTACGCATCAAAACGTCTATTAAGATATATGCATTTTCACTCGCTGTTTGTATTTTAACGAGCCTGTAGAGCGAGACAAAAACGCCAGGTAAAGAAAATCCAAAAAATCCTCTCAGAAAAAAAAAATGGATACGTATCTCCTGAACCAGTGCGGTGCCACTTACCCTTTGGGTTCT